GGCAGAGCCCCAGGTTTTGGTCACTGATTGCCATGGCAGGCAGAGCCTGTGCTGCAGAGGAGCCCAGGCTGGACAGTCGCTCCTTTGTTCTGCTCTGGCCTTGAGCATGGGCAGGGACGACTCAGTGAGGTGATCTCTGTTTGCTCTCTGTGTGGGAAGAGCAGAGTCCATCGGGCTGGAGACTGAGATTATCCAGGTGAGAGGGTTCTGCTTCCCCTTTCTTGTTTGCCAGGACACAAAACACCCTGGGCTGCCCTGCCTGAGCTCCTGTGAGGGGTCAGAGAGGAGCTCAGTGCCTGGCTGAGGCAGAGCCACATGAGGGGAAAAAGCAGCTGCAAAGCCTTCCATGGCAATGTGGGGGTGAGAGAGGGAGAGGATGGGCAGAATGGTGGAATAATTTGGGTTGGGGTGACATTAAAGCCCATCTAGTGCCACTCCCTACCATGCCAGGGACACCTCCACTGTCCCAGGGTGCTCCAAGCCTGTCCAGCATGGCCAGATTCACCTCATGGAGGCCGAAGGTTGGATCCACTCAGGTGATTCCCTGTGTCTTGTCCCTCCAGCCCTCCCTGCCCAGCAGATTCCCAGAGTTCAGGGCTGTTCCTGCAGCATCTGCAGAGAGATGTGAAAACAGAATTATGGGGTGGTTTGGGTTGGAAGGGACCTCAAAGTCCATCCCATTCCACCCCTGCCATGGGCAGGGACACCTCCACTGTCCCAGGGTGCTCCAAACCCTGTCCAGCCTGGGCAGATTCTCCTCATGGAGGCCGAGGGTTGGATCCACTCAGGTGAGGCCTCACCTGCAGAGCTGTCCCAGCCCTGGGCCCAGCATAGGAGGGACCTGGAGGTGTTGGAGAAGGTCCAGAGGAGGCACCAGGGTGATCAGAGGGATGGAGCAGCTCTGCTGGGAGAGCTGGGATTGTCCAGCCTGGAGAGGAGCAGCTTTGAGGTGGCCTCACTGTGGCCTCCCATGATTAACTGTAGGGGCCTACAGGGTGAGGAGAGACTACTGACAAGGCCCTGGAGGGCAGGAGAAGGGGAAATGACCTCCAGCTGATAGAAAGTAGGTTTAGATGGGATATTGGGAAGGAATTCCTCCCTGTGAGGGTGGGGAGGGCTGGGATGGAATTCCCAGAGAAGCTGTGGCTGCCCCTGGATCCCTGAAGTGTCCAAGGCCAGGCTGGAGCAATCTGTGTCAGTGGAAGGCTCCCTGCCCATGGAAAGGGGTTTGGGGCAGGATGATGGTTAAAGTCCCTTCCAGTCCAGGCCGTTCCATGATTCTGGGTCTGCCCACACCCCTCTGAGCTCTGAGGACGGAGCCCTCGTGCCTGGCCAGCAGAGCCCTGGTGGACTCCAGCCAGCAGAGAATTGTGCTCAACCCCACGAAGGAGCAGGAGGAATTCCCTGTCCCTTGGGAAAAGGGAGCCAGCCCTCACGTAGGACCAGGATAAACAATACCAGAAGCAACACCTGCAAAAAAACAAAAAGGCTCCTTAATTCACCATGATCTGCTTTGTCACTCGTGCTGTGGAGAACATTAAACAGCTTGGACGTGTGCACACAATTACACAACAGGAGCCACGGCCAGAAATGGGCTGCAGGTGTGTTCTGAGGAGAATTCAACCTTCAAAAATCACTTTAATCCAGTTAAGGACTTACAAGAAGTTCGTGACTCTTGAGAAATCCTTGACAAGGTCCCGTGCCTTCAGTTAACTCCCCGCAGTGGTTGGAGCTGCACAGCCTCCATCACCCTGGGGCAGGCTAATTAAGCAAAACCCAGCTAACGAAGGGGGAAGATGAAGTAACTGATTTTTGGCCTTTCATTTCAAAGAAAAGGGAAGGAAGGAAGGAAGCCACACACTTGTAACACCAAATATGTCTGTGATCTTATAGCAAAAAGTGCTGCCAAGATGTAAAATATTTGTGATGAGGTTTCATTAGTCAGGCTCAGATGACAGACTGTGACCTGATTAAATACACAGCAAAAACAACTCAGCTGCTGCTTACTAAGGTAGTTTCAATCATCATTTCAGTGAGAAAAGATTATATTTACTTTATATTAAAGCCTGGTAGTACAAACATTGCATTTAAGCTGAGGAGCTGGTAATGAACAGCTGCAAGGGAGAACTTTTCCAAACATTCAGGTCAAAAGCAACCATTGGATCATTTCCTTCAACAAAACACCAGAAAGCAAAACATTGAGGGCTGGTCATTGAGGAAGAGGAGGATTATTCACTTTGGGAATGTGTGAGACAACAGAGGCAAGCACAAGGGAAAGCTTTATGCAAAGAAGAGCTTTTAAAGAGGAACGGAGCTTATCCAAGAGTGGATCCAAGGTCCTGGAAGGCCACAGAAAGTGTTCTGTTGACTCCAATGGGTTTTGGATCACTCTGGAAGCGGAGAGGAAGGGATGAGGCTCCAGGGAGAGGCAGGCTGTGGGGACACTGGGATGCAGCTGGGAATAGATGGAGGAAGCCAAGGGGAGCGAAGGGCTGGAACACAGAGGTGAAGCCGTGTGCTTTTATTTGTATTCTGGAGAAAAATAACCTGCAGGAGGGCTTGGGAGAGGGGAATGGAGGCAGGAGGGAGGCAGGTGACTGAGCAGTGATGCAATAGAGCCATGGCTGCCTGTGCAATCCCCCATCCCTTCCTTGCTCCCAGAGGAACAGGGTGTGGTGCTGGGGTGGATGGGGGCAGCAGAACCAGGCACAGAACCAGGCACAGTCCTGGCCCTCAGCTGCTCAGCTCTGTCTCAGGGTGGCTGGATGCGGGTGTGCTGGAGGAGACTCTGGTTACTCCTGAAAATCCCTGTTTGGTGCCTCGGTACCTTGCCAAATCTCCTTCACCACGAACTTTGGGACAAGGCAGAAGCAGAGCAGTGATTCAGGCCTGGATTTGTCCTGAGCTCTGCCAAGTGCTGCCCACACAACTCTCCTTTTCCTTCCAATCCAGGCAGGACTCATGCAGTGCAGATCCTCAGTGTAGGGCTGACATTCACTTTTTGCTGCTTTTTTCTTTAATTGCCCTGGGAGCGCTTGTGTTAAACCCACCAATATTCAACTACTAAATGTTGAGACAAACTTGCCATCCAGTTTTACCCCCTAGGAACATGAAAACTGTTCACTTGGACTTTGCCCAGTTGTTTAGTGGATTCAAAAATTCCCAAGCCATCCGAGACCTCAAGGACACCTCTGTGAGCACCTCCAGGGGAAGAAGCCAGGATCAGATTATTCCAGAATCGCTGAAGCGAGGGCAGAAACATCAAAAGCTTCTCCAGTCACTAAAGGAAATTACATCCCATTCCCTTTCAAGTCTCCCCAAGACCTTCATCCCCTCACATTCCCTTCTTCCTGCCAGCCCTTTGTTGGGATGGAACTCTCTCTTCCATCCTGCTGGAAAGCAGAGTTTATTAAGAGCATTAACTCTGGAGATGGAGGGGTCACACATCATTTTCACGTGCGTCATGCTGAGAGAATGAGCTGAGATCAACGCTTGGCTAGCAGCCACTTGTTTTTAAAACCAATTGTTCACAGTTATTTCTCTTAATTATTTATTTTTTTGTGAGGCAGGGATGCAGTCCAAGAATGCCCAGCTTATTTTTATTCATAGAACATTTAAAACGCTGAATTGTCCTCCTTTCATCTCCACAGAATTTAAAAGGCACCGACCTAAATTTAATGACAGAGCTTCTGTCTGATTTTAAGCAGCTCAGATGAGCACCTGGGCAGGGAGATGTCCAAATCTTGCATGAATTCTTTCCCTGGAGGCCTCTTTCCTAACCTGGGGTGCCAACATGAGTTGAAATATTTGACTGAAGTGTCGCAAACAAGCAGCTGCCAAAAATTGTTATCAATTAGCACCATCCTACACTTAATAAAAGCCCAAACCCATCTGTTTGCAGCTCCCAATCTGTCTCAGAACGTCTGGAGATCCGGCAAAATTCTGAGGGGAAAGTTTGGCTTAAAAATGTTCAAAAAATCAGAACTTTTCAACAGAGAAATAGTTATTTACTAATGCTTATGCGACAAGAGTAATGGCAGTAAAATTCTCCTGCGGATTTAATTCCCCTGCAGATTTAAGCAGATATATTTACCCATTTATTAACTAACATAAATTATGAATATATAAATTACCTTGTCATGTTTATTGCTGGCACTGCCATGTATGAATATAAATTTATATCGAGATGATCCACTCCAGTTCTCTGTACTCTGTAACCCCTATTTTAACCCAGGAAAAGTTCAACTTCTCTAAAGCAGTTCTGCATTGACACTTGTAGCCTGAGCAATTTTGTTACTCCTTTATTACATCTGACTGAGTCAGTGGGGTCGTTTTCTGGCAGAGATTTTTGGATTATTATTGGACAGAGCTCACCTGGATCATTCACTGCTCTGCCTCCTCCACTGACTCACCTGAGCCTGAAGCAAACATTACTAACAGAGGTGACAGGGCAGCAGAGGCTCTGCTCAATGTTTATTCTGTCAGTGATTCACTGAGCAGATTCAGGGGTAAATACCCAGAAATAAAGCACAGCTTTGCCCCCAGCCCTGCTGACCTATTTTACCCCAAACATCCTGGGAACTCTCCCATTCCTTGGCATTCCACTGGTTTTATTTCAGCTTTTACCAGCCAGACCATGAATAGATGGAATTAGGACCAGCCCAACCATTCTATAACTCAATGACAGCTCCTATCTCCCTACTTATTGATTTATTGATTGATCGGTGTTAATCATTTCCTTTTCCCCATTTTCAGGGAAGCCAACCCAAGGCAGCGGCCGATCCCTGTCCCGATGTTTGGGGCAGGGACCCAGCAGCAGGAACTCCCCTTGCCGTAACACTCTGTGCCTTGGGTGTTGTGCAACACCTTGAGCAAACACTTCCTCCTGCAGGAGCAGGAATAAAGCTGAGCCCGTCCCTGCCTCTCACTCCCAGCCCAGAGCAGCTCCGGACAGGGCCACGCTGGGATCGCCACATCCCCACCCCAAGGAGCCCCAGAGCATGAAAATCCTCCTCATTTCTGCTCTTCTGCTGCATCTCCTCCAACAAGGTACTGCACTTTTTGTTTTAACCCTTCACCAGTTTTGCTGTATGAAATTTTAATTATTAACTGGGAGATAATAGGGAGCAATGGAGAGTTAAAGACTTTGGGAAATGGAGTTAGGGATATTTGGGATTTTCTGCTCATAGCAATTCACTGTAATTCTTTACTTAGAGAAGCATTTACTTGTTTGAAAAGTGGCCATAAATTGCCTGCAGACACACAACTGGTTGGTTTTGTGAGCCACTAAAGCAATACTTACCCTGAAAGTGAGAGGCCAATTTACCCAATCACACCAATTTATCAGCATTTTGGCCATAAAATGACAGATTTCTGTATGAATTCAATTACAATTACCTGATTTAAAGTATTGATCACCCTTTATTTATCTGCATGATACTTCAGGTTAAATTCAAGTGACTCCACCTGAGCAGATCCCACTTTTATTCCTCAACAATTTCTTTTAATTTCTGTCAACAGGGAATGGAATTTTTCAGGGCTTGGCCTGCACAAACATGTACAGCATTTATATCCATAATTAAACATAGAATTGGCATTCAGGCACAAATCTATAATTTGGTTTTTTACACAGAATATCTGAAAATGTGCACACCATTAAGGTGTTACCTTTTTTACCTTGACAAAACCACAATTTCATTGTCAATAAAATCCTCCCTAATGATTTTTTGTGCTGGTTGAAGCCCTTGGAAAAGCACACAATTATTTGTTCCTTATTACAAGTTGTTGTAAGGAGACCCAAGGAATTTCCTTCCTTCTTCAAGCTCGAGACAAAGCCTGAAGGCAGCAAAGACAATGCACTGATTAAGAAACTCCCTCGAAGAAAGGATTCATTCCAAACAAAACCAACCAGTTTTCCTCGAAATTCTGTCTGGATCAGACTGCAGGGACGGGATGACTTTAGTCCTGAGCCTCCCTTTAAACCTTGCCTTAACTTGAACTCTCTGGGCTGGAGTTGCACAAAGGGTGTGGAGAGATAAAATTGGGGATATCTGTCCCAAGAGGCCTGAAATATTCCTGGGATTGCTGCACAAGGACACACTTGAAGCTTGTGCAGAGAAATCTGAAAAACAGCAGGTTTTTTTTGGAAAATAAACATAATTAGTTGCTTAAAAAAACCATAAACCACCGTTGTGAGTGGCAGGAGTAAAGTTACACCTGGTAGCTGCTCCCAGCACGTGCTTGGTGCAACAGCTCAGCTGCCACAGGATCCCTGTGCACCATTAAATCAACAGCTTTATCAAGATACAACCAGGTTTGCTCTGCAATTACTTTTGGAAAGGGTTGAATCAAATAAATCAGTGATAAAAGAATGGATCAGTTTGTTTTACTGCCACAATTTGCACGAGGATGTGCTCTCCTGTTCCAGAGAGAAAATTACAGTAATTGGAGGCCTCTCTCCTGGAAAAACCTGGCCCTGGGGCAGGAATTAGCATGGGAGGTGCTCTGCTCCTTTGTTTATGTGGGATTTCATTGGCTTTCTGGGCAGCTGAGGGGGGTTTTTGTTGTTGTTGGTTTATTTTTCAAATACGGGCCCTCAAGGATTCACCAATTCAGATGAAATTCCTGTTTGTAGGAGATTAAAGAGTTCAGGGGTATCCAAAAGCTGCTGTTGCCTTGTGCAAACCAACACATCCCTTGCCTGACTCTGTTTTACCAAATCCTGGCCCCAGCTGCCAGGATGGACTGCAGGGTGTACCCAGGGCAGGCCCCAAATTAGCTTTGCTCCACATTTGCTGAGCTTCAGAGCAGAAAACAAAAAGAAATTCTTTATATCAGCCTTGCATTTCCTCACCCAGCTCTTTACAGCCCCTCCAGACCTTATGAGACCACTCAAAATGAGTTAAGAAACCTCCTGGATTCCTTGCACCATCAAGATTTTCCTGATTTCCTCCCTGTCTCCCATTATTTTACCTGGCCATGTCCAAATGTGTCCCCCAACCTTCTGCTGTCCCTCCTTCAACCCAATAAAAGAGGTAAAAGTTGCAATTATTTATTACCACCCTCTTTTAGAGTTCTGCCACAGTTATTTACGTGCCAGAGCCTTCCAAAGCAGGATTCTTGTTGCAGACCTGGCATTGTGTAAGTTTATTTGCTGGTGCAGAGGCAGTCTGGGCCTGTCTGTCACGTGCTGAGGTTTGGAGTTTGCTCATTCCACAAACCCAAATCCATCCATTCATGTCACTGGGAAATGCAGAGGGAAAGGCTGCCCCGGCATGGCTGGGCTGGCCTGTTGGGACTTGAACTGCTCAGAGCTGGGGGAAGAAACACAAAGAGAATTGCAAGAAATGTTTGGACACCTGGAAGTTGACAGGGAGGGCAACTCCTCCAAAATGCACCAAAATGGTGTTGGATCAGGTGATGGAGCAAAGCAGGGGAGCACGAGGTGCTGCAGGAACCCAAAGAATCACCTGGCCAGCCATGAAATTGGGTGTTTAATAAATTAAAATGGTGTTTTCATCAATCCCCAGGGAGCAGCAGAGAGAAGTTCTCTGGAGCCGAGCAGTATGAAGTCGTTTACCCGCAGAAACTGCACGCGGTGCACAGGAGAGCTGCAGGAACCAGCTCAGAGGTAGGAGATCAAATTTTGGGTGATTCTGGGAGATGGGGAAGGATTTCTGGAACTAAAACACCCTTGGGATTCAAGGGTAAGAGAATTTGGACAAACATTTGCTCTTCCAAAAGACGAACACGGAGAAGCGATGCGGTGTTCAGTGAAGAGGAGCTGAGGTGTCCTCAGAGAAGAGAACCCCTAAGGCCATCTCTGAACTTGTGTCTCTGCAAAGATGTGGGGCTTGATACTACTCAGAGTTTTAATTACCTGTGGACACTTGAATTTGGCTTAAATGAAACCAGTAATTAAAAGCAGCAATTCTGTGCAATTCCAGAAGGTGTTGTGGAAGTGTCTGAACTCTCAGCCCTTTCCCAAGCACGCAGGATTTGTGCTTATGGAGGCAGAAATGAATTTGCAAAGTCAAATTTGCTCCTCTAATTAAAACCCCTCAAACAGAGCGACCTCCTGCTTATCCTGCTCCTGGCAGAATCCTTGTTTTTGGTGAGGAGAGGAGGAAAAGAACACGGCTGGCATTCCAATAACACCACTGGTGAGGCCAGGAGCTGCAGCAGAGCATTTTCTGACACTTAAATCTGTTTACAGAGCAAATATGAGGACATAGTGAAGTATGGGATCAAAGCCAATGGAGAGGAAGTGGTGCTGCAGCTCCAAAAAAATCGGTAGGTTCAGCTCAGCTCTGCCCTCATTCCTCACTGGGAGCCACTGCAGGGTGTTCCTGCCAAAAACCAGCAATCAGGGCCCTGTGAAACAGAAGGGGGTTGGTAAATGCAACATTTCAATGGCAAGGAAAGAAAAGGGGAGAGAAAGAATCCTGTCACTGTTTCGGGAATGTGGAAGAAGTGCTTGGGATGAGACATTGCCATGATGGAGGGACTTCCCCTCCTGCTACCTCTGCTCCCCCATTTCCTTCCTAAATTGTTAAATCCAATTCATATTCCATATATTTATATTATTTCACAAGTTCTCTGTGACCATGAAAAGTCTGTGGGTTATAGAATTGTGGCCTGGAGTGACAGGACAAGGGGGATGGTTTTAAACTGAGTGAGAGAGAGTTTAAACTGGATATTAGCAAGGAATTCCTCCCTGTGAGGGTGGGGAGTGGCTGAGATGGAATTCCCAGAGGAGATGGGGCTGCCCTGGATCCCTGGAAGTGTCCAAGGCCAGGCTGGAGCAATTTGGGACAGTGGAAGGTTCCCTGCCCATGGAAGTGGAAGAGCTTTCAGGTGCCTTCCCACTCAAACCATTCCATGATTCTAGGAGAGACTCAATGATCTTGGAGGTGTTCTCCAACTTTAATCATTCTGTGGCTCTATATTTATATATCCCTATATTTTAGACAGATATAGAGATAGATAAATTATAGATGGGTAGATAGATAGATAGATAGATAGATAGATAGATAGACAGATAAATAGATAAACTGATACAGATATTTACCTTAGCACTGCTTCTCTTGAACCTGGAGTTACCAAATATAACCTGGCATTGACCGAATCCTCCTGGAAATTGAAAGTCTGGCTCCAGCAGAACATTAACACACACTCCAACAAGTCTGGGTTAATGGGTGCTTTTCCAGAGGCTGTGCAAATACAGTAGTGCCATAATCAGTCCATGTTAAAGATAGTCTATAATTAACTGCTCGCCCCTGTTTTAATCTAATCCAAATATTTGGAGTGGGGGGAGGGAGGGAAATGTGTTGTACTAAATTCTGTTCTTTGAAGAGAAATGGGATTGTGGCAGTGGAAGAGAGTTGCCCAAACAGGAGTCACTGCAGATGTGCTGCTTTTAGGAAGATGTAAAAAGGGCTAAAAACAAATCAATATGTAATTATACATTTGTATCCAGATCTGCCAGGAGATGAATTCATCCCAATGCAATCAGCACACTTTAATTGCTTTCTTCTTTTAGGAAAGTCTTTTTGTTTGAGTAAGGATTATGAGCAAGCAGAATTCCCCTCCCTGCAGCTTTTGCTTCCCGAGTTTCTCCGATACTAAGAATAACCTGAGTAATTGTTTGAATTCCCCACATACTCGCTGTGCTGTGTCATCACCTCATTTCTACATGGCAACAATTTATTTCCTTGGAATAATGACTGCTTGGCTCTTGCAGGGATCTCCTGGCTGGGGATTATTCTGAAACTCTTTATTCTGCTGACGGCCGACAAATAACGACAACTCCTCACATCAAGGTAATACAGGAAGGATTTCTCCCTTTTGCTTCCAGTCTTGAGGGCCACATGAGATTCATAGATCTGTGAAATAATGGGAGACGTGAGACAGAAAGGAAAGGTTTGAAATCCAGGTTTGAAGGCATTTAGGGTGAAGGGATGGGGAAGTTGGGGTTGGTCACTGGTGCCTGTTGGGAATCAGCTCCACGGTTTGGCTTCCAAGAAGGCACCACCCCCGTGGCTGCTGGACCATGGCTGGGTCGAATTCCAGCCTTTGATGGGAGCCAGGGCCATCCCAAAGCTTTCAAGCTCCCGACTCTGCCACGCACACTCTGCTCCACCTGCCCAGCCCCGTGACTCCATTTCCGCCCCGATCCCAGGGAGATCCCAGCCCGATAAGGCCCCATTTCCTCCTGGCTCACGTTTCCAGCCACGCTCTGCAAGCCCAGCTGCCTCCTCTGAGCCCTGACAAATCACTTCTGCACCTGCACACTAACAGCATTTTCTACAGAACAGATTTTTTAATTCACTGCACACTGATCTTCCCCAAAGCTCCCACCTGAAGTTCTCCTCCAAGCTCATGAGATGGGTTTTGACAGCACAATATGGAATTCAAAGCTCAATTTTCTCTGTTAGGTGCAATTAGGAGGGTTCTGAATGAAATAAATGTGCATAAATAACTCTGGGTTGATTATTTTGGGTTATTTTTTTCTGAGTGCTCCAATTTTTTCCACTCCCTGAACGAATCCAGTGAAAAATCTGGATAAAGACAAACTCGAAGAGCCCTACCTGTGCTGAACAGGGAATTCCTACCCTGGGGATGTTGGATTGTGGTCAGGAATTTTTCCGCTTGTATCCCCAAAGGATAGAGATAAATCCTCCTCTTTTCCCCAGTAACTTTCCTTTTGAGGATGTCTTTTTCCCTGTAACAAAGTTGGAATTTCGTGGTGGAAGACAAATAAATTACAAAGTTAAACCAAAATCCACACAAGAAAGCAAAAGGCACGGGGAATGAAGGCTTGGATACAGATTCTTAAGAATTCCATTCAGGAAAACACTGGGGGTAAAATTCTCCTCAAGCCCTCAGTGACTTTGAAGTCTCTTTGAACACAGGAACAGAAACCATAAATCCTTAAGCCAATTAAGTCCCAAAACAGTTTCTCCTACCCATGTTTAATATAATACCTGTATTTTAATCTCACTGAAATTAATGCATTTAATTGATGGGTAATTAAAAAGCCTTTCCTTGAAATTTGGACTCAAGGAAATAATTTGGTGTGGACTGTAACTGAGCAGAGCCCAGCAGTGTGTTCTTAATTTGGAGCAGGGAGTGGGAATATTCTTATTTTTCTGTGCTGTGCTTTGCCCAGAGTCCAGAATTGTTTGTTTTTGTCACAATTTGTATGTTGAAGGATAAAAATAATGAGTCCACAGACAACATGGAAATGGTCATGAAGTGTTAAAATTCCTTTTAAGCATTTCCTAATGGGTGACTTCTTCAAGTAGTGCACTTCATTGTAATTTGTAGGTAGTTTAATTTGTTTTCTGAAACCCTTGGATCCAATGGAGCCCATGGACACCCCAAGCTGACTCTGAGGATTTTTTCCCACCAGGATCACTGTTACTATGGAGGCCACGTGGTGGGTGATGCTGAGTCTGTGGCGAGCATCAGCACCTGCACAGGGCTCAGGTGAGAGGGGCTGGGTCCCAGGAGCAGAATGTGCAGCTTCTGGGATAAATGTTCCAATAGAAGAGAGTCAGCATGGAAAGAAGCCATGTGAGCTTTTATTCAGGCTTGGGAAACTTGTTTCCCAAAGAAAAACAGAGGGAGAAGGGAGAAAAATAATTACTCTTAGATCCTTACAATGTTTCGGCTTTTCACCTCAAATCAGGATGAAAACATCTTTGAATTTCCCACTGGAATGAAATCCACTTTTCAACCACTTCTGTCAGCTCAACCTTCCGCCCCCCCCCCCCCCCCCCAAAATTTAAATCAAATTAATAAAAGTTGATAAAATTAATAAATTAATTTGATAAAATTAATAAATCAAATTAATTCCAAACCCAGCTTCTCTTTCACTGAGAGCACTCAAATCTTCCATAATTAATTTCTCTTTCTAAAGTGTTGCATGCTGCCTCAGGCTGCTGGAATATTCCAAGGGTCTCTATGCTTGGGCTAAATGCTCCCTTGATCCAAACCCTCACATTCCTACCCATTTTTTAGTGGCTATTTTGAGACCCGTGGCCAGAAGTTCCTCATTGAGCCCCTGGGAGCCTCGGACAGGGATGAGCACGTGGTTTATAAATACGAGGCCCTGAAACAAGAGCCCATCAAAACCTGTGGGCTGGTCAACAACTCCTGGGAACAGGACTCCAGTGACCCCATCAAAGCCATCTTCAGGTCCAGCAACAGCCCAGAGGTAAGGACATGGCTGTCCCACCACAAAAATGGAATTTGTGGCCATTGGAAAACACTAAATAGCCCAAATCCCACTTGGTCTGGTGGCACCTTCACAAAGGAGCTGTTTAAACACATTTAAAAATGGGTTTTTTTAAGCAACCAATTATGTTTATTTTCCAAAAAAATCTGCTACTTTTCAGATCTCTCTGCACAGGCCTCAAGTGTGTCCTTGTGCAGCAATCCCAGGAATATTTCAGGCCTCTTGGAACCGAGATCCCCAATTTTAACACTCCACACCCTTTGTGGAGAGATAAACAAGGGAAGTGGGATTAGATCTTAAAAACCTGAACAAAATGTTCCAGATCTGAGATTTCAGAGTCACCATCTGAGTTAAACCTTCCTGCCTTTATTAACAGGTGCCCAGTGCACCTTTAACACCTAAATCCCCATTAATATCTATTTTACCTTCCAAATCTGAATAAAAATTTAAATATCCAACCTACTTCTTATCATTTAAACCCAAACCAGTCCCTTCTGAATGACCTGGCCCAAGAAATCCCCTCAGTAATTAACAAACAGCTTTGAAACTGCAGAGGTTGGGATAGGAAAAGCTCTTAAAAGTAATTTTTAATCCATGATTCCTTTAGATGAAAGCCTATCTGAAATCAAAGAAGTACCTGGAGCTCTATGTTGTTGCAGACAATGCTTTGGTGAGTTTTGGAATTATTATTTCATGTTTGATCAGCCCCACAGGAGCTTCCCAGGGCATCCCAACTCGTATTCCTGGGCTCCTACAAGAGCTATGAGGGCCTGGCTGGGAAATGGGATTTCTAAAGGGGATTCCATTTGAAATTCCCACCTGGAGATGACAGGAATTCAGAAAAGACTTTGCAGTGCTTGTCCTGCTGGAATATCATGAATTGAAGAGAATATCCTGAATTGAAGGGAATATCCTGAATAGAAGGGAATATCCTGATTTGGAAGGGAATATCCTGAATAGAAGGGAATATCCTGATTTGGAAGGGAATAACCTGATTTGAAGGGAATATCCTGATTTGGAAGGGAATATCCTGAATTGAAGGGGATATCCTGATTTGAAGGGAATATCGTAAATTGACGGATAATCGTGAACTTGAAGGGACCCACAGGGATCATTGAGCCCAACTCCTTCTCTGCACCCTGCACAGAAATTCACATTTTGGAAGGGGCTGATACTGAAACCCAATACCTGATAAAATCCTACACCAAACATAAAATAAAGCATGAATTTTTATACATGGCATGGTTTGCAAACCAAACTTCTGTGGGATATTTATTTCCTGATAAATCCCCTTTTCCCTCTCCTTTTCCTGACATGCTGTATTTGCCTTTTCAGTACAAGAAATACGATGAAGATGCTAAAAATATAAGACAAAGGATATTTGGAATAGTCAACTACATCAACACGGTGAGAGCAAACAAGTGGCAATGAAATCCAAGTGGTTTGTAATTTTTTTCTGTTGAAAAAGATTGAAATACAAATGATTTATATTTTTTTCTATTGAAAGCCATTGAAATCCAAATTATTTAAAATACTTTTCTATTGGAAACCACAGAATCCAAGTGGTTTAAAAATTCTTTCTATTGTAAGCATCATAAATTCCCATTATTACATGTAGGAATGAATGAAAGCTCCACTTCATGGTAATTTATTCTCCTGTTCTTTGCCTTCAGATATGAGATTTTTAATAAGAATTATTTCTACTCGTACTTTAATTATTTATACTCCTACTTCAATTATTTCTACCAATACTTTAAGATGCTTTTTAATCACTTCTCAAGTGAAAGGTTGTTGCAAAAGAATAAATTGATTCTTCATTTCTTTTGCAAGTCAATTATTTTTAACCCCATTTTAAAGTTGAAATGTGATGGGAAATCAGATTTTCAGTTTATTTGGTGAGACTTTTTTGGAATTCAGAGCTTGGAAAGGCTTTGTTAGGTCTGGAGTGGATATTGGAGTGGAAAAGTGACCAAGTACCAGGACGAGGCTTTGTTTAATTTTTATTAATTTTTAATTAATTCTCTGCTGCAGGTTTATAAAGCCATCAACACCCACGTGGCTCTGGTTGGCCTGGAGGTGTGGACAGATGGGGACAAGTGTCCCCTGACCAGGAATGCAGGCTTCACCCTGGAGGCCTTCTCCAAGTGGCGCCGGTCGGATCTGCTCAAGAGGAAAAGGAACGACAACGCTCAGCTCATCACGTGGGTCCCTTCCCTTCCCTTCCCTTCCCTTCCCTTCCCTTCCCTTCCCTTCCCTTCCCTTCCCTTCCCTTCCCTTCCCTTCCCTTCCCTTCCCTTCCCTTCCCTTCCCTTCCCTTCCCTTCCCTTCCCTTCCCTTCCCTTCCCCTTTTTTTATTCCTTAAAAATTGGTCAACAACGCATTCAAGGTCGTTTTTATTACTTAAAAATCACTCACCAAACTCATTCAAGACCCTTTTTATTCCTTAAAAAATGGTCACCAAACACATTCCGGGCACATTTTATTCCTTAAAAATCGCTCACCAAACACAATCAAGGCATTTTTTATTCTTTTGTCACCAGTCAGTGGCACACTCCTGACCCAGATTTCACCCATTTCACCCATTCCAAGACTGGCTTGTACCAATTCCAGGACAAAAAAATAAAAATAAATCCAAGCTGTCTCTCTCTCTATTTTTTCTTTTCTTTTTTTTTTTTTTTTTTTTTTTTTTTGTCATGGAGTGAAAATAAATTCCTGCCAGGACACAGCATCCAATCCTTCCAACAGAATCCCTGCAAAAACAGGGAAGGGGAACTTTTCCCTTATCTAAGACTCTTCTGGTTTTGCTCACTCAGTAAAGCTGAGTGTCCTGGGGACTGCAGCAAAGTCTGACAACTTAAAAGAGTCACAACCTGAAGTTTACCAAAAGATGATGAATTAAATTTTCCCAAAAATGTAGGGAATGCCAAATTAAACCAGCATTGACCTCACTTTTCTGTCTTGTGTCCAGAGGTCCTGACTCATCCCAGCCCTTTGCTGCTTTTGGAGCTCTTTACACCCCAACAAATGCTTTAAATCTGATGAACCACTACGGAATTTAAGTAAATATTAATACAAAAAGTGCTTCAATTGTTTTGGGTTTTTTTATTTGCAGGGATATTATATATTTGATTAGATGTGAGAATCCATCTGGAGGTGGAGATGGAGCCTCCAGCCTGGTTTGGAGAAGATCCCTGAGTTCAGAGCCCCTCCTGGGCACCCTCTGATCTCACTGTGTCTTTGTGCTTCCTTCCAGAGGCCTGGACTTTGAGGGCACCACGATTGGATTGGCCTTCATGAAATCCATATGCAGTGATGCATTTTCTGCAGGTATTATTCAGGTCTGATTCATTTTTATTTCATTTTTTAAAGCCTTTCCTATGTTTTTTCACTCTGCCAGTGAAGAACCTTTGTGAATATTGTTGGGTTTAGGGCACTTTCAGTTCTCTGGTTCATTATTGGACTGTAAAAATTCAAAATCAGAGCCCTGGAAGTGTCCAAGGCCAGGCTGGACAGGGCTTGGAGCAGCCTGGGATAGAGGAAAGTGTCCCTGCCCTGGAACTGGATGGGATTTAAGGTCCCCTCCAGCCCAAACCATTTGGGATTCTGAGATTTTATTGTAAATGAAGTGCAGGGGTGGGTAAAGAAAGCAAACACATGATGTACACACCTCCATGGTGTCTATTTTTTAAATACATATATTTTTAATAAATATATTTCTATGTATAAATATCTTTAAATATTAAATAATAAGATATAATCCAAATAGATGCACAAATGGGGTGAGCATCACATGACCCCTCGTGCATCATGAGGATAATTCTGCTTGTGTTGGGAAGGATGAAAGTTTGACAAGAAAGTCTCACAGATATGTAGAGATTTCTGCTTGGCAGAAAGATTTTTAAATGTGGAATCTGAAGATGGAATAAAATGAAAGCAAGTTTTGATATAGAAGAAAAGAATTGCTGAGCCAGTCTTACTGGAGGCAAAGGGTGTGTTAGAAGGGTTTTTATGGCTTAGAGCAAAGGATAAACCCACCTCAGACAAGATGTTTTTACCAAGCACAAAGATAGCACAGGCAAACAAGGCAGCAAATGTGGCAAGTAGAAAAAGTCTCAGAATTTTCCACTGCAAGAAAACTGAAAACAACTTCTAGCTTAAACTGTAATGTACTGACTTTGAGTGATTGGAGAACAATAACATGAATATGGTAATTACAGTAGTTATGATAGGCTAGAGGTAAAAGAAAAACTGTCGTGTTTTTTATTGTAAATGAAAGGTGACTCTGACCTCTGACATTGGTGATGAGAGAGAATGATGCATCTGACTCCATCATCAGAAGGCTCATTTATTACTTTATTATACTAAACTATGTACACTGTATCTAAACTGAAACTGCCATGCCCTCACTCTTGCTCGCAACTGCTCAGAACAGAACTCATCTCTGATTCTCTCCTGACTGTCCCGTGACAGTCTGACACACACAGACACACAGACACACACAGACACACACAGACACACACACAGAGACACACACACAGACACACGCACAGAGACACACACACACACACAGACACACACAGACACAGACACACACAGACACACACACACAGAGACACACACAGACACACATGCACACACAGACACATACACACATACACACAGACACACAGACGCACGCACAGACACACACACACAGTCACACAGACACACACACACACACAGACACACACACATACATACACACACCCACACACACCCCCACACACAGACATACACACACCCACACACACCCACACAGACACAGACACACAGACACACACAGACACACACAGACACACAGACACACAGACACACACAGACACACACACAGAGACACACACAGAGACACACACAGACACAGACACACACACACAGAGACACACACAGACACACATGCACAGACACATACACACATACACACAGACACACAGACGCACGCACAGACACACACACACAGTCACACAGACACACACAGACACACAGACACACACACATACATACACACACCCACACACACCCCCACACACAGACATACACACACCCACACACACCCACACAGACACAGACACACAGACACACACAGACACACACAGACACACAGACACACACAGACACACACACAGAGACACACACAGAGACACACACACAGACACACACAGACACACACACACGTGCACACAGACACACACACACAGAGACATACACACACACACACACACATACAGACCCACACACACACACGGACACACACCCACACACACACCTGGCCCTGACAGGCCAAGGGAATAAAAGCATCCTCACTGTGGGTAAACCATCTCCACATTGCATTCTACTTTAGCACAACACAGGCACAGCCAGATCAGAATTGGGTTTTCCTTCTTCTCTGCTTGTCTCACAGCTTCTCTCTGTTCACAGGGTATATGAATACCACATTTTTTGTTTTCTCTGTTGTTGCTGGTGCTGTAAAACACACATGGGAATAACAAAGAGCTTTCCTTGCTCCCCAGGACCACAACAGGAATGAGGTTGCGGTGGCAGCCACGATGGCCCACGAGATGGGGCACAACTTGGGCATGAGCCACGACACCAAGGCCTGCTCGTGCAACGATGACATCTGCATCATGACCGACACTGTCAGGTGGGGCTGGGGCACAGTGGGGCTGCAATGGGGCTCTGGGCAGGCTGCCAGCCCCAGACTGGGACACGGCTTCTGTCCAGGGAGATTGTCCCATTCAATTATTCAAACTAATCAATTTTAAAAAATGGATGAAATCCCTGGCCATTGTCAGATATTCCCAGATAGAAATCCTACAAAAAAACCCAACCCAAAACTACTTTAGACCCTGTATATTTAGAGAAATGTTTATGCGTATATTTATTTGCATTTATTGATTTATATATATATCTTTATTTTTACATTTATTTATGTACATTTAATATTTAAAATGTTAAATTATTATTTAGATATATGTATCTCTAAATATATATTTTATATTTATTTTTATATTGTTTATTTTATATATATTTAAATTTCTATTGTTTATTTTATATATATTTACATTTATTTATGTCCATTTAACATTAAAATGTTAAACTATTATTTAGATATATCTCTCTAAATATATATATTATATATACTTAGATATCTATATCTAAAATAATTTCTATATATAATATATTTTATATATAAATATATTATTAAATAATAATCTTTATATAATTAAATATATATTATTAAATATATATATTATACATTTAGAGATATAGATCTAAAAGTAATTTGTATGTATATAATAAATGCAGTATATATTTTAATTTATAAATATATTATTAAATATTATTTTTATATATAATTATATATATTTGCATTTTCATATATCTAAATATAATATATATATAAAATAATTGTTATAAATAAATAATATATAATATATTTTTATATATATTATATTATATATATTCTATATATAATATATATAATAATTATATATAATTCTATATATAATATAGATATAATCATATATAATATATACTATATATAATATAATATAGATATTCTATATATAAATATGTTATTCAATATTAATTTTTATATATAATGGATATAAACGATTACATTCATATATAAATAATTTTTATAGTATATATGATATATTTAATATAGAAATATATATTAAATATTACTTTTATATATAATTAAATATATATTATTAAATAGATGGATAGATAGATAGACAGATAGATAGATAGATAGATATAGATATATAATGTTATGTATATGTATATGTATATGTATATGTATATGTATGTGTGTATAGATATATAGATATAGATATAGATACAGATATAGATACAGATATAATAGATATATAATGTTATATATATAATATATATATACAAAACATTAAATGTTAAATGTGTGTTTAGAACAATGTTTTCCCCAAGAGCTGTGGGGACAGTCAGGTGTCCAGTTCTCTCCCAAGGGTGTTCCACTCCCTGCCTGTGCCCATCCCACCATAACCCCTCCTGTGCTCCCCCAGCTCGGTGATCCCCAAGGAGTTCAGCTCGTGCAGCCTGCAGAGCTTCGAGTCCTTCATGCTGGCCGACATGCCCCGGTGCCTGAGCAACGTCCCCGAGCAGGGCAGCATCATCGCCCCCGCCTCCTGCGGGAACGGCTTCGTGGAGCGCGGCGAGGAGTGCGACTGCGGCACCCCTGAGGTACCTGCGGGGGCACGGGGCTCTGCCCACGCTGGGCTGCTGCCTGCTGTCGGCCCCTGGGGTGGACACTGCTGTTTGGCAAACCTGGTGTATCCCTGAAGCAATTTAAGTCCAATGATGAACATAAAATATATTGTTTCAGTGAGCTCTTCTAATCATCAGATTTTGGAGTGAGGACTTCAAACTGTTGCTGCAAAATTTGCGTCCCAGTGTGAAAAACGCCAATCACTTGTTTTTAAAATTTTTAAAAGTTTAATAGTAATAGTTAAAAAGAATAGTAACACAATTAGACTAATAATAATTTGGACAAATTGAATTAGGACAATATGAGACAATAAAAACAAAGAGTTATGGACCTCCTGGTACCTTTTTCTGGGCATCACGAGCCCGAAAAAGGACCCCCATTAACAAAGGATTAACCATTAAGAACAATAGCCCGTTGCATATTCATACACTTCATACATGATGCATAAATTCCATTCAAACACAGGATTCTGTCTGGTCAGTGTCAGCTTCTTCCTTCTAATCCTAACAGCGCCTCCAAGGCAGGAGAAGTTCGTTTCTTCTGATAAGAAGGCAATAAAATATTTTTCTCTGAAAGATCTAGGTGTCCTGTGGCTGCTATCTTGCTGCAAGCCCTTCTTGTCAAACAAAGCATCTTACATAGCATAGTTTCTATTTTAACAATTTTTATAACCTAAAACTATATTTAAGACAGTACTTAAGAAATGTAATACAGCATTATTTTCTAACACAACACATATAATATTCTTAATATTTGCAAAAAGCCAATCATAATATACATGCATTTTTCTCACCAGTAAAACTAAAACAGGCTGAATTTTGGGTTCACATGTTAATGCATGTGATTTGGAGCTGAGCACAATGCTTCAAATAAAAAATACAGACTTGGAATGAAAGTTCCTGCTCAAGTAAATGTTAAGTCATCTTTCTCTTTTCTAAACTCAGTAGGCTCATGACTACTCTCTGTTGTGTGTGGATCTCAATGCCATTAATAGCACCATGATCCCATGGCCAGCAGTCAATGCCAGCCTGGTAAAATGGACATTAACAGCAGGATTCACAGCTACTCAATTAACCCTGCTATTGAGCCATTGCTAATTGCTATTGAGCCATTGCTCAGAAAATCCAGAATCGCTGGCAAGACCCTTTGGGGTATATAAAAACAGTGCCAGGCAAAGGAGTTAGAAAGCTTAAACTCTACACAGTCTCTCATTATTCTAAATGAATTCCTTGTAATCTGAAAGCTCTTGCTGAAGCAGAAATTGCGGTCATCAAACTGCAGAGCTGGGGTGGCTGGGGATGTGCTGAGTGCTGGGAAGGATGAAGCCCTGCTTTGTCAGGAGGGTGACAGAGGAACTGAGAGTAGACAAAGCCGTCCCCACAGCTCGGCACAAACCCCCAGTTCCCTGCACAGCTTCCACCTCCAAACCCAGGCACTTTAGGGAAGGTGCTGCCCAACAAAGCCAAGGGCAGGTGCCAGACTTCCATCCCAGCCAGGGACAGTGGTGTGGGGTCCCTGTCCCCAGCTCTGATTTTCTGCTTCTGTCCTAGGAGTGCACCAACGACTGCTGTGACCCTGAGACCTGCAAGCTGAGCTCGGGAGCTGCCTGTGCCGCCGGGGAGTGCTGTGAGAACTGCCAGGTGAGACCCCTCCCCTGTAAAAACTGCCAGGTGAGACCCCCTGCCCTCAGAGAACTGCCAGGTGAGACCCCTCCCCTGTAAAAACTGCCAGGTGAGACCCCTCACCTCAGAGAACCTCCAGGTGAGACCCCTCCCCTCTCCTGGAAGAACTGCCAGGTGAGACCCCTCCTCTCCCCTGTGAGAACTCCCGGGTGAGAAACCCCCCTCTGCAGATCCTCACCCCTGCTGGAACAAAGCAGGAACTCACCTTGCACCAGAACTGGTCCCCGTGTTTAACAGCACTGCCAAGGGCACTGTCATGGAGTCATGGAATGGCCTGGGCTGGGAGGGACATATGGGATCACTGATCCAACCCAGGCCCTGCACAGACACCCCAAAATCCCACCCTGGGTATCCCTGGAGCAGTGTCCAAACTCTCCTGGAGCTGTCAGCCTCGGGGCAATGCCAGCACCCTCTGGGGGAAGAGCCTTTCCCAAAATCCAGCCTTTCCCTGATCCCCAGCCATTCCCTCCCTGGTACAGCTCCAGCCATTCCCTCACATTCCCTCAGGGGCTGTCACTGCCCACCAGCCCACCCCAAACCATCAACTCCCTCCATCTCCCACCACCCTGCAGAAATGAGCCCTTTGGTTGGCCATTTTCTCCTGGCAATAAAAGCTGTGGCACAAGAGGCACACCCTGAGAACTGAGAGATCCAACACGAAGGGAGATATGGATCCTGCTCCTTACACAGCCTGTGTGTCACCATTGAGCAAGAAATGACAGATTCACTGCAAGGCTGGTTTGCAAAAGAGCAGCTTTAATATGAAAATTCTCTTCTTTTATAGATAGGTTCAACACATTCTACTTGATTGGCTAATTAACAAAAACTCTCTCACAAACAGTCCTGAAGAAGAACAGAAAGAGTAGGAAAACACAGGTTGTTTATACTAACAAGTTATCATTGTTCTTCTACAACTCCCTAAAAAGTCTCCCAAGCCCACTGTGAGCACACAAAGCCGTTTTCTCACTCCTACCAGGCTGTTGCCCCCACCCCTGTGCAGTGAGGTTTTCCTGCCTGTTCCAGCCCTCAGCTGGGTGGTTTGGGCAGTGTGGAGGAGCTGGGTGCTGAGTGTGGCATTTTCTCCCTGCGCAGTTCAAGAAGTCGGGCTCGGTGTGCCGGCCGGGGAAGGACGAGTGTGACCTGGCTGAGATGTGCACGGGGCGCTCCCCCAGCTGCCCCGAGGATCGCTTCCGTGTCAACGGGCACCCCTGCAGATTTGGAGAGGGCTACTGCTACATGGGCACCTGTCCCACCCGTGACAGCCAGTGCAAACTTGTCTTTGGGCCAGGTGAGTTCACTGTGGCACCGAAAAATCAGCTTGGCTTGGGCCTAGAGGCAGGGGAGGGAATTCACATCACATCCTCAGATCCACTGCACCTCAGGAACTGAGGGTCTGCTCTTCAGCTCAGGCTTTGTGGTGTTTGCAGGGGTCCCCAGGACGAGGTGAGAGATGAGTGAATGTGACTCCATGTTCTTAGAAGGCTAATTTATTGTTATATCACATTACATTACATTACATTACATTATATTACATTACATCATATGATATCACATTATGTTATGTTACATCATATCATATCATATCATATCACACCATCATATCATATCACATCAATCATATCACATTATGTTATATCATATCATATAACATTACATTACATAACATTATATTGTATTATATTATATTATATTATATTATATTATATTATATTATATTATATTATATATTATATTATATATTATATTACATTAGTAACTTATTAATAATTTATAATATATTATATATAATAATATATAATATCTAACACATATAATATGTATTATAATAATATATAATATATAACAACATCTATATTATTATTAAATTAATTAGTATAATGTAATAACATAACATAACATTTATATTAGAATATAATAATATGTTATGTTATGCTATGTTATGTTATATATTATACTATACTAAACTACACTACAGAATAGAGAAAGGATACAGACAGAAGTCTACAAAGAATGATAATGAAAAATTCATTACTGACTCCTCAGAGTCTGACACAGCTGGCTGTGATTGGTCATTAATGAAAAACAATTCACATGAAACCAATCAAACATGCACCTGTTGGTAAACAATCTCCAGCCACATTCCAAAGCAGCAAAACACAGGAGAAGCAAATGAGATAATATTGTTTTTCTCTGAGGCTGCTCATCTTCCCAGGAGAAGAAATCCTGGCGAAGGGATTTTTCAGAAAATATGACAGTGACAACCCATCCATAAAAATAAACTCCAGTTTGTAGCATAATTAATGATGATTTTTATATTTCCCATTGTCAGTAGTTGTAGCTCATGAGCCAGACCTCAGGGCATGGCGTGCTCTGTGCTTTTAGGGAAACGGGAAGTGGGGAGCACATTCCTCTTTTGCAGAACCCGTCTGAGTTAGTTGGAATGGAGCTGGGGAAGTGGTTTTGGCCAGATAGGAAGAGGAAATGACTGTCCTTCAAATTAACAGCCAGATTTGGCACATCTGGTGCTTCTGAAAGCAGCATTTCATAGAGCTGGGGAATGGCTTGGGCTGAAAGGGGACTTAAATCCCATCCAGCGCCACCCCTGCCCTGGCAGGGACACCTCCCACTGTCCCAGGGGGCTCCAGCCTGGCCTTGGGCACTGCCAGGGATCCAGGGGAGCCACAGCTCCCTGGGAATGCCACCCCAGCCCCTTCCCCCTTCATGGTGTTATAAATGAATACTCCAATTTAATAATTACGGAAATTCATTAAATAATCAAAGTAGAATTTTGGTAAAAACCACAAGCAATTTGACTCTGAGACAGGTGATCAGAGTCAGGGAAACCCAGGTTTAGTCTCTATGGCGCCAAAGTCCCCATGGGTCTCCAAATGTCATTTATTTCTAAAGAGTTTGTTTTGTACAGTCTTTTGGGCTCTAGAAGGAGCCCTTCTTTATCATGGTATCATAGCTTTTCTTTCTTGCTGCTGCATTTCTTGGAACTGGTGAATAATAGCTGAAATCCTGTCAGGTGAAAATCTTCTGGAATAAACTTCTGGTGTCGAATATTATCTTATTGATGATACCTATCAAATGCTTCTTGCTGGGGTGTTGTCAGATGAAAAATCCCTTGAAATATCCATCCCTGGAGACAGTGTCCTCCTGGTGTTGGAATCTCCATCCTCATCACTTAGCCTATTACTGCTTGGTGCCCGACACTGCCTTTAGTACACAAAATGCTGTGGTTTTTAATTTCCTTCAGCACGAATTATTTTATAACATATATCACAACAGGGAACAATTCCTTCCCAATAACCCATCCATCCCTGCCCTGTGGCAGTGGGAGCCATTCCCTGTGTCCTGTCCTTCCATCCCTTGTCCCCAGTCCTTTCCTGGCTCTCCTGGAGCCCCTTCAGGCTCTGAGCTCTCCGTGGAGCCTTCTCCTTTCCCTTGGGCACCTCCAGGGATCTAGGGGCAGCTACAGCTCCTCTGGAATTCCATCCCAGCCCCTCCCCATGCTCATTCCTTCCCAAAATCCCACCCCAATCTCACTTTTCCCAGTGGGACACCATTCCCTGTGTCCTGTCCCTCCATCCTTGTCCCCAGTCCTTTCCAAGCTCTCCTGGAGCCACTTTAGGCTCTGGAAGGAGCTCTGAGGTGTCCCTGGAACTTTCTCTTCTCCAGAAGCTCATTTATGCCCATGACGGCTGGGAAAGGCCATTTCCAGAGCAAAGGAAGGAGCTGGAATATTCCCAGTTCTGGTTTGGGATCCCAAACTCACCCTATTTATTGTTTTCCTCCTGCAGAGGCCACCGAGGGCGAAGCCTCCTGCTACAATGTGAACGAGATGGGGAAGTACTTCGGGTACTGCAGGAAGGAGCAGGGCACTTACCTCCCCTGCAAGAGAAAGTAAGCACTGGGCTGTGGGGTGTGCTGGGATTTGGGAAGAGAGGCCATTCCTACTCTCATCAGGAGACAGAAACAAGGAATGGCACAGCCCTGTGTTCCTTCTTGTTCTGTCTGAAAACTGGGGGAAGTAATTTCTAAGAAAAGTGGATTTAAATCATGAGGTGTGAGAGGAAAGGTGTGCACATTGCATAATATAATATAATGTAATATAATGCAATATAATGTAATATAATGCAATATAATGTAACATAATGTAATATTATGTTGTATAATGTGATATAATGTAATATAATGCAATATAAGGTAATATAATGTAATATAATGTTATATTATGTTATATAATGTAATATAATGTTATATTATGTAATATAATGTTACATTGTGTTACATTATATTACATTATATTATTTACATTATATTATATATAATTATATTATATTGTATTGTATTACATTACATTACATTACATATTATTACATTATGTAACATTATATATTATTATATTATATTATAATCATCTGTGCAGGGCTGCTTGGGAGGATGAATGTGAGGGTGTGCAGGGAACTCCTGGGATTTTGGGATAGGGAATTTGAGCCTCAGAAGTGAAGGAATATCAGTTAAATCCTCATTTCTGTGAATGAATTTGTGTTCCCTGCTAAGCTCAGCAGGATTTAAGAACCTGTCACCAGCTCAAGCCAAGCTGCCACACCAGCATTCCCTGCTGCAGCATTTCCTTGGAATTCAGGCTGCAGGAGAGCCCAGCTCAGGGGGTTTGCTGGGCCTTGTCCTTGGGGTAACAGCTCCTGTTGTCCTTGCAGAGACAAGCTGTGTGGGAAGCTGTTCTGCTCTGGAGGCAGGGAGATGCCTCGGGACGGGAGCCTGCTGTCCTTCAGGGCCTGCAAAGGCAGCTTCTCCAGGGGTGGGGGGGACGACCCAGGGATGATCCTGGATGGAACCAAGTGCGGCAATGGGATGGTGAGTGGAGAATCACCTCTTCCTTTCTCTTCCCCCTCTTTCAGCCTTGCTGATATAATTCTGTCCTGTACAGGGAAGATTTTAAACAGTGGACCCCAAACTTCTGCTGCTCTGTTTTCCCAACTTTTATCCCAACCCAGCAGCAAAGCAAACAGGAATTGGCAGCATTCCCATTTCCTCAGGCTTGGCTGCTGCCTCATTCCCTTTATTGACACAAAGATGTGTGGCAGCAGAAACACAGCTTTGTCTGAGAAGTTAGGAGATCGTTAATGTTAATTATTGCATTTAATTATTTCCATAATGGCTGTCCCTCATCAGTGGGTGCTGTTTCCAGTCACTCCCTTGAATATTCCTGCCTGGAAGGGAGGGATGAGGGATTGAGTGGGAAGCAGTGATGTCTGCACATCTCTGTCACTCCCTTTTGTACAAAACACCCAAATGGAAAATCAGCCCCTCATCTCCCACTCCTAAAGGGGTCTGAGGGATTTCCAGAGCTGTTCTCCATCCCCTCACAGAATAAAGTGCAAACTCTGCCTGTCCTGGAAGCTCCAAATCCCTGTGGTTTGCTCTCATTTCAGGTGTGCAGCCGTGGGGAGTGTGTCCAGGCTGAGGACGTCTTCAGATCCACCAACTGCTCTGCCAAGTGCCCTGGCCATGCTGTAAGACACCAGCATTTGATGTTATTCACTTTAAAACCCCAAGAAAATGATGCAGATCAGGCTCAGGCCTCCTTGCTGACAGTGTTTAAGTCATTGATACAAATCTGTCAAATTTGAGGAGTCAGAAACTTTAAAAATTTTTATGAAAACACATCTCCCCTGAGGGAACATCAATGTTTTTGCCCCGGAGATGGACACAGCCCCTGAGCCATGGTATCACAGCTCTCCTCTTTTAGGTTATTTTGGTTTGGGGAGGAGAATTCTGCTCACATTTGACCATTCAGAGACCTACAGATAAATAGATTAACTCTGTAGTGAAGCTTTCCCTGCAGAAGCAAAAGGTGCATGATATCAGGACTGTCCTTTAACACCTCAAACTGCTCCTTTTTGTGCTAAATTTTAGCTCAGATAAGTGAAGAGATTAAAAAAACCTCTCAGCATCCTCGCTCAGAAACTTTCTGAGCCCCCAAACTCACTGGTGTCCCTGTTTGTGCCCCCAGGTGTGTGACCACGAGCTGCAGTGCCAGTGTGAGGAGGGGTGGGCACCCCCCAACTGTGACAGCTCCTCAGCCCTCACCAGTGAGTGCCACACCTTGGAATGTGTCCTTTCCTGCCTGCAAGGGATCCCTGAGCATTTCAGCTTTTCTATTTTCCATCTATCTGTTATCCTGCAGTTCTTTAGTGTTTAACTCTGAACTCCATATCCATGTGAGCTGCTGTTTTCCCATTTTGGGCAGACACAACAATTTCTCTCCAAGATTTCAGCTTTTCTATTTTCCATCTATCTGTAATCCTGCATTTCTTTAACGTATAACTCTAAACTCCACACCCAGTGTGAGCTGCTGCTCTCCCATTTGGGGCAGACACAACAATTCCTCTCCAGGATTTCAGCTTTTACATTTTCATATATTTGTAACCTGCAGTTCTTTAGTGCATAACTCTGAACTCCACACCCAGTGTGAGCTGCTGCTCTCCCATTTTGGGCACACACAACAATTCCTCTCCAGGCCAGGGATCCAAGGACACCTCACTGCCTCAGGGCCCAGAGATGGGAACAAAAGGGAGTTGGGGGCAGCAAACTTGGGGTCAATGACTTCATTACCTGCAGCTGTAATTGGAAGATCAACCCCAGTATGCATATGGGTCAAATTTGTAAAAATGTGAAAAGCCATGCCCCATCATCCATTTTGGGGGTTCAAAACCAGCCTGGATGCAGCACTGGGTGCCAGGGTTGAGTTGAGGTGCTGGGCTGGCTCGATGATCTTTGAGGTCTCTTCCAACCCAGTGATTCTGTGAATTCTGGGAATCTGCCCCAAAAGGCACCAGAGGAGCTGGGGGGCTCCAGGGGAACAGCCCAGCACCAGAGTGGCTCATACAATTGTTAATTGGAATAATTAAGCTCATCAAGCCCAGCAGCACTGAATCATGTCCTCAGGCACAGGCACAGGTTTGAACAATTCCAGGGCTGGGAGCTCCAGCCTGTCCCAGAACTGCACAATCCCTTCCATGAAGAAAATTTTGTTCATATCCAGCCTAGATCCCAACACTGTATTCCGGGGAGCTGATTTCTGAGCACCCCTCAGCCCTTCAGGGAGGAGTAGAGGAGGTGTTTTCCTCTCTAAGCTGGCAAGTGGTTCCCTCTGGAGATGAGAGCAACAGGCTTCTCCTGTTGATTCTTGGAATAACGAGTTCTCTGTCCCTTCAAAGTGGAGCCAGGATCCCAGAGGCTTTGCTGTGAGGGAGCTGGACAAGTTCACTTATCATCAGCATGGTCCTTAACTGATCCACCTCTGAGGGAAAATTATTTGTGTCCAGATTTTCATGTGTTAGGGGGAAAAAACAGCCTTTATTTAATTTATAATATGGAATATTTTAGTCCTCTCTTCACCATCTCCAGAGCTGTTAGCTCTGAACCTCTGGCTTGGTTGAGGTTTTGGAGTAGTTTTGTTGAAAATTGTGAAAGAAACTTTATTTGAGGGCAGTTTGAAGGTCTGCACCCTTCTGTGGGTAACAGCCTCTGGGACAGAGGAGAGGAAGGACAGGGAAGGATCTTTGAGGGTCACTGGAAAGGGCAGGGATGGTTTAGGGTTTGTTCAGGGTTTGTTTAGCCCAAGGACAGCTCAGGGAACAACTGACTTCAGACATGGCAAAACCAGCAGGAGTTCACCCCTTTCCATCACCATTTGTGGCAGGAGAAGAACTCATAGAATGAAAACAGAGATAATAAAATTCCTTCATCAATGGTGATGGGAAACTTCTTAATAGTGGTGGATCTTGTTGGGTGTCTCCCACCCTCAGTGGTTCTGGGATGTTCTAAGAACTGTTTGTGTCCCTGCTGATGTTTAGGAACTGTTTCTGTCCCTGCCTTCAGTGATCCCTGATGTTTTAGGATTCTTTCTGTCCCTGCCTTCAGTGATCCCTGGTGTTTTAGGATTCTTTCTCTCTTTGCCCTCAGTGATCCCTGATGTTTCAGAACTGTTTCTGTCCCTGGCCTCAGTGATCCCTGATGTTTCAGAACTGTTTCTATCCCTGGCCTCAGTGATCCCTGGTGTTTAAGGGCTGTTTCTGTCCCTGCCCTCAGTGATCCCTGATGTTTCAGAACTGTTTCTGTCCCTGCCTTCAGTGATCCCTGGTGTTTTAGGATTCTTTCTCTCTTTGCCCTCAGTGATCCCTGATGTTTCAGAACTGTTTCTGTTCCTGCCCTCAGTGATTCCCTGGTGTTTAAGGGCTGTTTCTGTCCCTGCCCTCAGTGATCCCTGATGTTTCAGAACTGTTTCTGTCCCTGCCCTCAGTGATCCCTGATGTTTCAGAACTGTTTCTGTCCCTGGCAGGCATTGCTGTGGCTGCTGGCGTGCTGGCTGTCCTGGCTGTCACTGCAGTTGCAGCCGTGCTGCTCACCCGCTTCCGAGGCTCCCACAAGAGGTAAACCCTTCCCACATCCACCTAAAACCCACAAACCACAGCCAGGAAATCCCTGCAGAGTTTGCAATGGGGGTGGGGAGAATTTGACTCGGGAAGGGAAGGAAGATGGTCCATGAGATTTGTGGAGGCATCAGAAATCCCATGGCTGGGAGGGGATGGAAGAGTTGAAATGGAGCTCTTGATAAATCCTTAATAATTCCAAATGAATAAAGGGAAGAAAGAAATCAAGGACATGGGTACAAAACATCAGCAGGAGTAAGGCAGGGCTTCAATTGGTTTCTTTTTTCAGTTAACTAAAATTGAGCATGATTTGAAATCTTTGACAGCCACCAGAGCAGGAGGGGACCCGGAGCCACCAACCAGGTGTTTGTGGATCAGGAGCAGAGCTGCAGGGAACAGCCTGTGCTGGTGCCACCTGCCCAGAAGGTGAGAGCAGGGACAGCTGGGGACTGTCCCCAGGGCTCAAACCATCAGCCCAAGGGACTGCACTTCCACGGGATTCCCAAAATGCTGAGGGGAGGAATTCCTGCACGAATTCCCAAATTGCTGAGGGGAGGGACACTGCTGGGGATTCCCGCAGAAGATTCCCAAAATTATGAGGGGAGGAATACCAGCATGAGATTCCCAAAATGCTGAGGGGAGGGACAGTGCTGGGGATCCCAGCACAAGATTGCCAAAATGCTGAGGGGAGGAATGCCAGCACAAGATTCCCAAAATTATCAGGGGAGAAATCCCAGCATGAGATTCCCAAAATGCTGACGGGGCAACGCTGGGGATCCCAGCACAAGATTCCCAAAATTATGAGGAGACATAATCCCAGCACAAGAATAATCCCAGAGTCCCAGCACAAGATTCTCAAATTGCTGAGGAGAGGGACAGTGCTGGGAATGCCAGCATGAGATTCCCAAAATGCTGAGGGGAGGGACAGTGCTGGGAATGCCAACATGAGATTCCCAAAATTATGAGGGGAGGAATCCCAGCATGAGATTCCCAAAATGCTGAGGGGACAGCGGTGGGGATCCCAGCACAAGATTACAAAAATTATGAGGGGACGGTGCTGGGAATGCCAGCATGAATTCCCAAAATGCTGAGGGGACAAGGCTGGGGATCCCAGCATGAGATTCCCAAAATGCTGAGGGGAGGGACAGCGCTGGGAATGCCGGCATGGAATTCCCAAAATGCTGAGGGGAGGAATCCCAGCATGAGATTCCCAAAATGCTGAGGGGTCAGTGCTGGGGATCCCAGCATGAGATTCCCAAAATGCTCAGGGGAGGGACAGCACTGGGAATGCTGGCACGAGATTCCCAAAATTGTGAGGGGAGGAATCTCAGCACGAATTTCCGAAATCCTGAGGGGACAGCCCCGGGAACTCCAGCACGAATTCCCAAAAATGCTGAGAGGAGGGACAGGGCTGGGAATGCCGGCATGGGGTCCCCAATGAGCCGGGGCAGGGCAGGGACAGCCGGAGATAAGGCAGGAGATAAGGCAGGAGGTGAGATAAGGTCTCCGCCCCATTTGTGACCGTTCCCGTCCGCAGGTAATTGATAAGAGAGTTCTTCCCGTGCCTCCACCTCAGGAGAACAAACCGCACCTTCAGAGTGTGAGTATTTCTGGGAATGTCCCTGCTTTCCTGCGGGGTTTGGGAACATCACAAACCCCTGCTCCCAAAGGGACATCCCCGAGCTGCAGAGGGGCTCTGTTTTCTCAGACACCATCCCTGCACTCCCAGCCCCGTAAAGCATTCTCATGTCCAGCTCCAGGCTGCACATCCCCAAGGAACACGTGGATGCACACAGAGGGTTAAATGGTTCACGTTCTGTTTTTTCCAGCCTGCCCTGAGGCCCAAGGGTCCCCCACCTCCCGTTCCTGCCCCCAAACCCGGCTCTTCCCACCCCGAGGAGAAGTTTGTGAGTACAACCCTGCAGCTTCACACATCCCTATCAGATCCCTATTCATATTTGCAGTTTCTGATTTAAAGTGAAAATTTAAAATCACAGCTGTTCAGAGCACAGGTTTTTAGGGTAGGAATCACTTTTTGGCCCTGTAATCCTAAACTGCACAAATATTCCTCATCAGCCAGGGAGTCCTCCAAGGCAGCAGAAGCAAACTCAGTAGCTGGAGTTTGACCCAAGAGGCATTTCAGGTGTAAACACAAAGTAAATGATGAGTAACTCTGCTGCTGCAGGTGCCTGTGAGGGTCCCTGTGTGGCAGAGATGTGCTGGGTCTTACATTTGTAAGAACCCAGAGGAATGGTTCTATTTCTCATTAATAAACCCAAACCATCCTAATTAAAAGGAAATACCTGCCCCAGATGTTCACCATCTCAGCATCTGAGGCCCCTGCCCCCCTGGCAGGACGGTGTAAAATCCATCTTCACTCTGGTCACACAACTGTGGGATGCTGCCTGCACAAACACTGGGTCAGGACAATATAAAATGTAAAATATAAAGTATAAGATATAAAATATCCTCATGTATCAGTTATAAACCACATTTAAATCCCACTCTGTGAGCTTGGATATCAATATTTAAATATTGGGAATAGCTCAGTGTCTTCTGAAACAGACCTGGCCCCCTTGTATTTGTATTTTGTTGCCCCCTTGCACATGGACAGGTGGGAATTCCTGGGATTTTGCAGCAGGAAAACGCTGCAGGGTGAGGGTGGCTGGGGCTGGGGAGGTTCTGCAGCTGCTCAGAGAACCCCAGTGGCATTGAAACCCCATTTTGTTCCAGGCTCCAGAGAGAACAGCTCCTCCTGTGCCCGTTCCCAAAGGCAAACCCCCTCCTCCACCCCAGGTAATTCAGGTGGGAATAACAGTTCCCTGGGCATGGAATTCCGATAAATTCCCTGGGGATGGAATTCCCATCCATTCTCTGGGGATGGAATTCCCATCCATTCTCTGGGATTGGAATTCCCATCAGTTTCCTGGAGATGGAATTCCCATCCATTCTCTAGAGATGGAATTCCCATCCATTCTCTAGAGATGGAATTCCCATCAATGGTCTGAGGATGGAATTCCCATCAGTTCCCTCGGGATGGAATTCCCATCAGTTCCCTGGGGATGGAATTCCCATCAGTTCTCTGAGGATGGAATTCCTATGAGCTCCCTGGCAATGGAATTCCCATCAATTCCCTCAGGGTGGAATTCCCCTCAATTCTCTGGGGATGGAATTCCCATCCATTATCTGGGGTTGGAATTCCCATCAGTTCCCTGGGGATGGAATTCCCATAAATTCTCTGAGGATGGAATTCCCATCCCTTCTCTGGGGATGGAATTCCTATCAGTTCCCTGGGGATGGAATTCCCATCAATGGTCTGAGGATGGAATTCCCATCCATTCTCTGGGGATGGAATTCCCATCAGTTCCCTGGGGATGGAATTCCCATCAGCTCCCTGGGGATGGAATTCCCATCAGTGCCCTGGGGATGGAATTCCCATCAGTTCCCTGGGGATGGAATTCCCATCAGTTCTATGGAGATGGAATTCCCATCAGTTCCCTGGGGATGGAATTCCCATCAGCTCCCTGGGGATGGAATTCCTTCACTGCTGGGATTTAACTGTTGCTTTTCCCTGCAGGCTTTAAAGCCCCCCATGAACCCCAGAGTCTGAGGCTTCCCAAGCAGAGCTGGCTGGGCCACCTGAAGTTTCCAGGGACAGTTCATCCCTCGATTCCTCCACTTCTGGCAAAGGCATCCTGGACCATCTCCCTCTCCTCCTTGAGAACTGACTGAGAGCTGCCTGGGGAGATTTGGGATTTCAGGCAGTGAGGAGCCCTGGTGGTGACATGGAGCTGCCGTCCAAGGGAAGCAGAGCAGAGCCACCACTTGCACTGAGGTGTAAACTGGGAGTAAGTTACAACAGCTGCTGAACACCCCCAGCACTGTGGATGAGGCTGCTCCTCCTCTGCTCCTCTGGGGCCAGAGCTGAGGGCAGCAGGGACAGTGTGGCTGCTCCAGGTTTGGGAATTACAATTTTTTTTTGCTCCATTTCTGGATCTTTTCCAGCCCTCTCTGCCCTCAGCAATACAAAGATTTCTCCCTCAACTGCAAGTCATGGAGAAAAACAAATTCTCTCTGCCCTGGGGAGAGAAGGTGTGTCCCCAGGGTCTGAGCTGGACATGGAATAAGCAATGAGACACACTGGGAATGGTTCTGGCAAGATCCTTTGCACTGGATTCTCTCCACAGTCCTTAAATTCCCCGTTGAGGATGCCATTCCCTGCAAAACATGGATGTGATGGAATTTCAGTTCTTCCTTTGAGGTTGTGTTGGATGAGGATGGATGTTACTGGACAAGCAGAGCTTCCTTCCTCTTTGGATAATTGCTGCTTTATTTGAGCCAGGAACAGATGGGAATCTCCACCTGGGTTTGACTGGGGTGTAAAAATCCAGAAGTTATTTTTTATGAGCTGTAATTAATGTATTTACAGAGATTTCTGTATTAAAGTTCTGTCTGAACAGGAAGCAATTGTTGTGTTCTTTCAAACCCATCATGAAGCACAGGAAAACCAGGGTGAAGTGGAGTCATTTCTGACATTGCCAGAGCCCTAAAATTCCCAATTTGCAGCAAAAAGATGATTCCCAGGTGTTGTCAGCCCTGCCAAGTCAGCCAGGAAAGCTGAATTCCATTTGTAATGAGGCTTGACAGGATATTCCAACACAGCATTTCTGCCACCTTCAAATCTATTTCTTCCTGATTTCCAACCTTTGGGAGTATGCCAGAATTTCCCAAGAATTGTGAGATTTGAAGCAAACTAAAGAATTGTTTTTTTCTTAATTATCTTCTGAGATTCAGCTCCAAACTGGGAGCCTGGGCTGCCTTTTTTCTGCAGAAAACCAAATCCTCACCTGCTCATACCTGAACTCCTCCATTCCCAGCCCTGAGCAGGGGGTGAGCCCTGGACTGAGATCAAAAATCCTCCTTCAGAGTGACCAGGAGTAGAAACTTCAGATAAATACCATATTTCTCTATAATTCCTCTATCATTTCTTATCTGATTTATTCCACCCAGAGCAGTTTCTGATTTCCAGCCCCTCTTGCCCCAGGACACCCATGGTTACTCCGTGTGTAGCTACAACCTCTCGTTGTGTTGTACAAATGTGACATCTGCTGCTCAAAAGGCTCCACTGCAGGAGGAACAAATCCCCAGATCAGCTGGAATTTTCTGGCCAGGAGCCGGGGGCTGCACCTTTCCCTGCTCTCAGCCCCCCAAAAAAGCCATTTATTGACAGGTTTTTTTAGTTTGAGTGAATATTCCACTCCTCCTCCTCCCTCACTCCATGGGAAAACAAAAATGTCTTTTTTCCTGTTTCTTTTCAACCTCTGAATTCACAGAATCCTGGAATGGTTTGGGCTGGAAGGGCCCTGAAGGATCCAATTCCAAGCCCAACAGCTCCCACTATCCCAGGGTGCTCCAAGCCCTGTCCAGCCTGGCCTTGGGCACTGCCAGGGATGGGGAATCCACAACCTCTCTGGGATAACCCAATTTTCCAATTTCCCACCCTTCTTCTCCCCACTTTTCCTCCATCTGCACCTGAGACTGATGCTCCCAGCACCTTTTCTCCTTGCACCCCAAACCCAACCTTTCTGTGAAGGTTTTTAGGGAGTTCTGGAAATCCAGAGCATCCCAACAGAGTGAATTCCTCTGGAATTCCTCTCCCACCCTCAGAATTGCTCACTTTTTAAATTCTTCTTCTCGAGGACTTATTTTATAAAGGGTTTTTGATAATATTCTGTCCCCAGGAGGCAGAGCCCTTGGCATCTTTAGTGTTCTACCTTCCCTCTTAAAAACTGTGAGGTCCCCTTCCCTTTGGCGGCAATTTCTCTTGAAATGTCCATTTTTCTTACAATAAAACCAAATTTGTCCTTCTCTAATGGCAGTTAACATCACTCTGGCCTTTTCTTTTGCTTTCTTTTCATCCCTCCTGGTGTATATTTTCTGTGCTTCTCTCAAGAAATCCTCCAATCCCCTTTCTTGCCAATTGTCTCATTTCTCCAATTTTCCCTGTATATCAAACCACACCTGGGTGACAAAATATGGTTTTATTAAGGTTTGTCTGGCTGCTGTTTCAGGGTCAATATTTGAATATTGCCTCATGTTTTCCCTCAATCTTTCTTGAGTATTGCCTCATATTTTTCCTCAATTTTTCCAGCCACTCTGGTGGGGTTTCCTCCCTCTTTTGTTGTTCTTTAAATGGTTTCTGAGGATTTTGGCCCCTTCTTGCCATGCACATTCGGTGCTGGCCGTTAGAGGGCAATGGGATGTGGGGAAGGAGGAGCTGGGGGATCAATTCTGCACTGCCAGCACCACCTGCCCTCGGGCTGAGTCCAGGGAACGTTGGGTCTGCAGACACGGAGGCACCAGACAGGGAATGAACTGATCCCAGCCCTCCAAACGTGACTCCAGGCCAGGCTCAGAGCTCCTCACAGCCAGAGCCAGCTCTAACTGAGTCAGGTTTAACCCAAGTCTTTTCCTAGCAGCCCTTGTTCAGGTGAATAATTCATGTAGTAGCAACCTGAAATGAAGGATTTTGCTTCCCTGTGCCAGCAGATTTTCTGCAGCCTTGCAGCAATGCATAAATCATCACCTTCTGCACAAAGGAGGAGATAAAAGGCAGCAGGATGAGCCCACTGATGTGAAAACTCACGGGGAAAATTCACAGGGAAGGTTTATTCCCTGAACTTACACCTTGCTGGTTGTCTGCCACCAAACTGGGCTTCATGGTCCCCAAAAAATGCTGCTAAAAAATGGTTCCAAAAAGTGCTGCCAAAAAATGGTTCTAACCACGCCAGCTTGTGCTGGTAACATCAGAAATGATATCAGTATTAATAATTAATATCACTAATAATAATGTCAGTAACAATAATATCAGTAACCAGGGAATCATGGAATATCCTGGGCTGGAAAGGACCCACCAGGATCATCAACCAGCTCCTGGCCCAGCACAGACACCCCAAGAACCCCCCCTGTGCTGAAATGTGAACCTCAGCCACTCCAATTTCTTTAATAACAGCTGAGAAGTGCCATTAATCATCCCTTTAATGATAATTTCCCCGGTATGGCACTGCTGGATGCTTCCAGCCTCCTCTGGGGCTGAGCACACAGGAGGCCCCAGCGTTCCTCCAGGCCCTGCATCCCTCCAAAGCCACCCTCAGAAGAGTGGCAGAGATTAACAGGCTGCTCCTGACACGAGATCCATAAATAATTCCACAAAAAGCGTGGCCCCAGCCTTTAGAAGGTCTCAGGGCAAAATAGTAGAGGCTGAAATATTGATGGATGTGTCTGCAGGAGCCATTAGGGAAGGGAAAGTGGTTCCATGGGGCTGGGCTGAGCCAAGGCACCGGGAGGAGAAAACACATCTGAGTGCCCAGCCCCAGGTAACAGGAGAAATTACAAACCCCACACAATTTCAGCAGGAATTTAGAAATGGAATAAAAAAGCTGCTCCTCCAGCGGGGAAAGAGGTGCTGGGAAAGCCTGGAGGAGATTTCCATCCAGAGCACGTGAGGACAGAGCTCAGGTGCCTGCTTGGGGCTGCAGCCTCACAGAACATCCCTGTTACAGCTGTTCTTACATGGAGACAGGGATGAGCTGCTCCACATCAGGATCTATTTTTGCCTGTCCTGGAGTGCTCTGCAGTAATGTGCTTTCCATGTTCCATTTTGCAGCCATCACGGAGAGGAAAATCCCAGGATCCCAGCGGTGGGAAAGGCATGGTAGAGAGCTGCTGAGAATTCCTGAACGTGCTCCTCAATTAGGTCACCCCAAAAACCCCTCCTGCCCATCTCCAGAGCGTGATGGGGCTCAGAGCATGAGGTGATTTAACAGAGAATGAAAAACCCCGTGGTGGGGTCTGCCAGTGAAGTACTGGGACAGGACATGATCCCCTTTGGGACACGATTCCCCTTGGGACACCATTCCCTTTGGGACATGATCCCCTTTGGGACACGATCCCGTTTGGGACACAATTCCCTCTGGGACATGATTCCCTCCGGGACACCATTCCCTCCAGGACATGATTTCCTTCAGGACACAATTCCCTTTGGGACACAATTCCCTTGAGGACACAATTCCTTTCAGGACATGATTCCCTCCAGGACAGCATTCCCTTCAGGACATAATTCTCTTTGGAACACAGTTCCCTTTGGGACACAATTCCCTTTGGGACACAATTCCTTTCAGGACACCATTCCCTTCAGGACATGGTTCCCTTCGGACACGATCCCCTTTGGGACACAATCCCCTTCAGGACCTATCCCCTTTAGGACACCATTCCCTTCAGGACATGGTTCCCTTCAGGACACAATTCACACCCTTCAGGACACAATTTCCTTCAGGATATCATTCCATTCAGGACACAATTCCCTTTGGGACACAATTCCCTTCAGGACACAATTCATATCCTTCAGGACACCATTCCCAGCAGGACACCATTCCCTTCAGGACATGATTCCCATCAGGACACCATTCCCTTCAGGACACAATTTACACCCTTCAGGACACGATCCCCTCCAGGACGCAATTCCCTTTAGGATACAATTCCCTTCAGAACACAATTCATGCCCTTCAGGACATGATTCACACCCTTCAGGACATGATTCCCTTCATGACA